CTATCACTTTATCACCTCTTCAGGCTGTTACTTTAAAAAGTAACTAAGTAACTAATTACTTTTGAAAATAAGTAATCAGTAATTAGTTACTGATTGTTTTTTTCAGGTAACGTGACCAACACTGCTCATGAGTGATATAAAACATGCCCGTCACAGAGTCATCTCTGTTATACAGCCTGTGTTTAACGCTGCACACATTAAACATGTATTTACCACAGAAATGTGATGAATACACTTCACAGGCCTATAAAAACTAGACTGATTATAATGAAGGTTTAATAATACAAAACAGGTCATTTCTTTCATTTCTTTAATCCTTTCATAATCCCGTTCAGTGTATTTGCTCGTTTCTTTACGGATATAATTAAATAGATGAACATGAACGCAGAGTGACGCGTTTGGCTCCGGATGCTCCTGTTTTCTGTGTTTACCTGGAGCCTCCTGCCTCTTTAAATAAAATCCTGCTAATGAAAATCCGCTGTTAACACCCCTGCTGCCCTCCTCCTGCCCCCGGCCTCCCTGCTGCTCTGTGCCCGAGGAGCGGAGCAGGATCCCGTGATCGCGGCAGGCCACTCCGCTCGGTGTGTCGGAGCTGCACAGCGACGGCAGGTACCCGCCTCTCAGACCCTTTCCTCCCGTCTCCACCCTCTGCTTTCTACTGTTTAATCCTCCTTCTCCACCTCCTGCATCACCACCACAACCGGCAACAAGTCGCACCGCCCGCCGGCTCGCAGCTGCTGCGGCCGGTCACACCGACAGCTTCTCCCGGCTCACCGGGCCGGTGGGTGGGGTCAGCTCTCAGGTATGACAGAAGAGGAGCCTGAAGCCTCACCTGGTGGGTTTTACTTATTCTGAGGGTGTGCGTTAGGTTCTGTGCGCCGAGCTGGGCGGAGCAGAGAGCAGGTGGGCGGTGTCAGTCTGCAGACCACCTGAGAGCAGAAACCGGAAGCGTCGAGTTTAGGAAGATTAATAACGACTTTGTGACGTCTGAGGCTTTTATTGGACTCAGATTTTAGAGCTTCATTATCTTGTTACGTTTGTTTGTGAGTTTGTCTTCACAAACAGGATGTAGCTGATGTTTACAGACACAGCAGGCTGTAACTCACCAGCTGACCTTTCATGTAAAGAGGCAGCTCCATTAAGAAGCTGTTTAAAATGACAAACTATTCACACATGCTCAGAGGTCAGCTGTGGCTCTATGCTGGGGGGGATCAGTGTCACTGCTGTGGCTGTGGATGGTTTCCCCTCCGCTCTCATGCCTTCAGGTTGACTCAGTTTGTGTTTTAAACTCCTCGCTGAGGGTCAGCAGGGTTCGCTTTACACGTCCCTGCAGTGCTGATCCACAAAGCTTCATTTTAGTTCTGAGTAACAGAAGCCAGGCCTGCACATTAAACCCACAGCTCCTTATTTCTGGCTTAACCACAGACTGTATATAAAAGATGGTCACAGTAATTCGTTTCTGAACTCTTAACTTTGAAGCAGCCACAAAATGATCCACAGAGACCAAACAGTTTGTGTATCAGGCTCTAAAAAATGTTTGTTTGTGCTGGAAAGTTTTAACATGGGAGTCTATGGAGACTGACTCACTGCTGCCTCTGCTGGACGCCAGAGGAACTGCAGCTTTTGGTGTTTCTCATTGTTGGTTAAACATTTACACTCCTAACTTAGACCCTGAAAAACCATTGAGCATGCGTTCCTTTTATGGATAAATAAGCGATCTTTTCTGACGCGTTTACGTGGATAACACTCATTGCAGTTTGTCAGTGAGATTTTAGTGATGATTGTTATGAGTCAGGACCAATGTTCCCTCTAATTTTTCATGTGTCTGAGCGAACACACAAACTCCCTGAGCGTCCCTAGGTCCACTGTGAGCGACAGCAGACGTGCACTGTGGTCACGTCGGCATCTAATCCATCCAAGTTACATGTTTATTAAAATTATCAAATTACAGCATTTATGTTAGACGACTTTTAATTAACTGCTTTAGCCCACTTACAATGAAAATGTAAACAAATCTTGTTCATGACCTGCAGCATGTTAACACTATTGGAAGGAAAAATAACTTCAACTCCAATTTTGAAAACACAACTTTCTTATTATTTTTTTTATAAAGCTCTGACTTGTATGATGAGTCTGAGTCTGGGAGAGAGTCTGTAACTCTGTCTGCAAAATACAGTAAATACTGACCAATGCTGGGAAATTAATTATATAGTTACTTCTTCAAAAAAGTAACAAAGTTTTTGCAGCTGTTTACCTAAAAATGCAGCCAAAGCGGTTTTTAAATAAACATTTCAAAC